TGAAGCAAAAGGAAGGGGGGGTTTGTTTCTGCCTTGAGTGCTTGTATATTTTATTTTCCTTGGTAGTGTTTGGTTGGTAGAGAGAGATTCTTAGCCTTTAAGCTTTTGGGTTAATGGCATTGCACAGGAGAGAGGTGAAGACAGGTGACGGCTGCTCCATGCATGCCAAAAATGAGCTGAGAGAGGTGGATCCTCAACAAGTCAAGTCTACCCTAATAGTATCAAACTGTAGACAGTTTTATTGTGTAATGATAGAGAATCGAGATGCTACCCACTGTCGATGAAAATGTTGTGAAGATTATTATCTTATGAAAACGAGAGTATCCTTTAACAAACTGATGATGTATAGGTAGGCAATACAGGAGAGAGGGAGAGACTCTCGAGCACTGTCCATCTTTCCTCTGCACCAAATTAGTACCATCTTCTCCATGTCAAGAACGACTTCTCGATCCCTAATCCCTGATCACGAACCAGTACCATATTAAGAACTACACGATAGACATACATCTTCGGTATCACACGCAAAAACCACGTAGTAGGCGGGCATATCGGATGCATCCATTTGCATCCGAACTTGGGTACAATGTGACTGTCAGCTTAAATAGGTGGAATGACCGGTGAACTTCTACAGAATTGGTTGCATCGCAGGTGTTCTTGACGTGCAACTTTGTGTGCTTCCTTCCCTGTGCAACGACGGCACAGTCACTGGGCCCCTCTCTCTCTCTCTCTCTCTCTTCAGCCACTGAACTTTCCAATCACTGGGCCGGCCCCGGTGAGCCACGATCGGGCCCACTCCGGAAACACGTTGTGGACCGACGCTGTCGTTCGACCAATCGCCGATGGTTGGCGCCGCGTCCGTGCCGGGCCGCGCAGCTCGACGTACCCACGTACGTACCGGGGTCGGTCGCGGTGGGGACCGCGGCACCGAGGGACAGGATGCAGCACTGGAAAGCTGTGGCCTGGCCCACCCGCGCAGGATGGGACCACGTTCGAAGATGCGGCTTTTGCGCATCCATCTAAAGCGCCCGGCCATTCTCATCCGTCGGAATTCCTTCAAGCGGATGCGTCGGACGGCCGTCGCCGCCACTGCCATCGCCCACCTCCACAATCGGAATCATATATTGCTTGAAATTTACATCTTAAGAAAGAAAATATATTTTTTTTCACATGCAATCCTGCATGATTATATAAATTTACTTTAGACATTTTTTTGTGTTAACTTACATGTATCCAAAAAATGAAATATACAAGGATACCATGGTATTCTTACTACCATAATAGTTTTCTAAGGATATTATGAGTCGTAGAATCGTGACGTAGAGGTTCGTATCGTCCCTTCCACCGCAGTAAGTCGCAACGTTCTGTAGGTCAAGCATCGCCACCAGACGACGTCAAGATCGCTAAGAGAAATTGACACCGTAGGCACAAAACAAGGAGAAAAGGAATCTAACTACGAGAAAACCTGGCTCTACAGGAGAGTGTGTTGACGCAGCAACTATGGCTGTTGACAGGCGAAGGAGATCAGAAAGAGAAGCCAAGGAGGATTCGAGTACATGGATGGATACGTTAGAGTGGATCGACGTTTGTCGAGCATATATTACTCCAACTATTCGGTGAGTGTAATTTTCAGCGTTCCAAGATCTGAAACCAACCGTCTTTTGCACCACAAGCAAATGGAGAGGCGATTCCATTTGACAACTCTGCAACGCAACGAAGTGGACATGTCGGAACGAGGAGTGCCATCAGGGCTCGATGCAAGAACATAGGTTGTTCTTTCGAGTTGCTATGTTGCATCGAGACGTATCAACTACGGCTTCATCGTTTGTGGACCATCAGCGACGTCTTCACTCACTTGACGAAGAACATAAACAGGGAATTCATATGGCGTTTGGAGGAAGAAATTGGAGTCATTTATGAGAACATACATGTCAACCAAACAAGGAACAACCTCCTGGAAGCAAGATAGTCATGCTCGATCAACCTCCTCAATGGCCGAACCTGCACCGCTGCCACCAGCAGAAGGAGCACCATCGTCCATTCTGCCAGCAGATGCACTCGAGCTCCATCATCTTGTCGTCGTAACTCGTCTGCCTCTTCCGACTGGTTGACATCGAGCAAGTGGATGTCCTGCTGGATTGCGTCCTCAATCTTCTTTTTGTCGGCAGCAGCAAGCTCGGAAGCTATCCTGTCGTCTTGGATAGTCTCTCCCATGAAGTATGTAGAGTTTTCTAGAGCAGTCTTTTGTCTCCATCCTCTTCTCGTGCTCCTCATCGGCCGCTTTGTACTTCTCCGATTCCTGAGCCATCTTTTCAATCGCCTCCTCGCCGAGCCTACCTTTGTCATTGGTAATTGTGGTATTTGTCCACGGCAGGCACATTTAAGATTCCGTTGACCTCGATGTCAAAGCACAGTGTGGGTCGAGGAACACGCCGAGGGGCAGGTGGAATCCAAGAGAGCTCAATTTAGCAACAAAATTTTAGTTATCTCTAGTCCCGGTCCTCTCACCCTCGTAGACTTAATGAATGAAGACAACCGGTTGGTCGCCGGAATAAGTTGAGAAGGAGGAATAAGCCACACAAGAGCATAGTGATGCTACACAGTAAAATATTTAAAACAGAATACTACGATACGAGTAAAAAGAATCCTTTCGATTCAAGAAAACTGAAGAATTAACATAGAATATTTACAAGATATTCTCAAATGTATTATCCATTATATCTTGCTTCATGAACTACCCACCGGTAACTACCCATATCACCATATCAGGTAACTACCCATATCACCATATCATCTATGATTGAGGTAGTTATTGAAACTATCCTATAACTTCTAGATCATTGTAACTACTTAGATAACTACTATATCATGGTAACTATCTAGATAACTATTATGAATCAATTCTCAATACTTCAATTCTCAATACATAATAGTTATCTAGATAACTATCTAGATAACTATTATGTAGCAAGTGAGGATATCTGCAACTTGCTCATCTGTTCCATAATACTTCATTACTATGGCTCCACTTGCTACAAGATCCCAGATAAAATGATAGTGTATCTCTATATGCTTCGTTCTTCCATAAAATGTTGGATTCTTCGTCATTGCAATTGTGGCTTTGTTATCACAAAATATTTCTATTGCTTTTTTTTATTGATCTTCAAGAAGTCTTCTAAGCCATATTGCTTGACAAGCATGTCGCGACTATATATTCTGCTGCTTCAGATGTCGATAAAACAGTTGTTGCTTACTTTTTTGAACTCCAAAATATAGCTCCTGATGCGAGGCTAAAAATATTTCTTGAAATATTATTTCTATCATCTAAAGCTCCTACCAGTAATATAACGTAGAATTTTTTTAACAGCTCCGAAATGATGTTTGCTTGGGCTATGCATAAACTTGGATACTACATCAATAGAGAAGGTAATATCTGATCGAGTATGAGTTAAATAAATCAAATCTCCCATCAAACTTCTGTAGTATCTTGCATTTGTTAGACACGCACCATCTTCAAGTTTCAGTTTCTCATTTACATTCATGGGAGTTGCCGTAGCTTTGTAATTAATCATATTAGATTTTTTTGAGTAGATTCATTGTATACTTTATTTATGAAATAAAAATTTTATCTAATCCTTGATTCACTTCCAACCAAAGAAAATAGTACAGTAGACGACATTTCAAACTTATTCATCATATATTTTTAAAATTCTGTCACAAAAGAGTTAGATGAACCCATATATATAATATCATCAACATAGAGGCAAATCATTAGAATATTATGTTCATCTTCTTTTTTTAGATAAAGAGTATGTTCATTATTGCTCATCTTAAATCCATTTTGATGAAAACAATAATTAATTTTGCTATACCATGCTCTTGGAGCTTGTTTAAACCTGAAATGCTTTCAAAATTTCAAACTCGCGATAGAGGGTTTGAAGTTTTACCATAATCACCCTTTATGAGCATTGAAATTTATTTTGAAATATCAACCAAGCTTACTTTGAGGTTATCGCTGCTGCAATTCTTGAGAAGATTGTCTTATATATGGCTTGTTGAATGAAGAACAATGTCTTTGAGTCATTCTTTCTATTTTCCCTCAGCCTGATTTTGTCATCTGGATCCGTATATCCATTCTCTATTAAGTCCCAAAGATCTTGAGACTTGAATAGAGTCTTTATCTTGATACTCCAAAATTTATAACATTTGCCCGAGAAGATGAGAATAAGGGGTTGAGATATGGAATTACCATTGAAAACCATAATACCTAGTTCAGAATAAAGGAGCAAGAAAAAAACAGAATACTATGATACGAGTAAAAAGAATCCTTTCGATTCAAGAAAACTGATGTAGTATTTAAAACAAGAGGATTGACATAGAACACCTACAAGATATTCTCAAGTGTATTCTTCCTTCTATCTTGCTTCATGAACTACGGTCCTATTTATAGGACCTAGTGGTAACTATTCATATCACAATGTCACCCAATGATTGAGGTAGTTATTGAAACTATAATTTTTAAATCATGATAACTATCTAGATAACTACTAGATCATGATAACTACCTAAATAACTATTATGAATCAATTCTTAACACTCATAGCCCTTAGAGCAGCATCATAATCAATAACCTTATAGATACTGCTCCTCTCATCTTTGCATTTCTCGAACACTTTTCCACGTTCAGATCTTCCACCTAAGAGCAGTGGTGGAATCGGAATCAATGCCCCGTCCAAGGACAAAATCTCATGTGAAGTTTGAGCGGTACACGATGACGTGCTCTTGTAACTTTTTGTGTTTTCCGTCGAATTCCTGGACAAAATGGTCGACCACATACGGTTGCCAAATCCCTCTCCGTCGAGGTGGGTATCATTAGTCTTCGATGGCCAGAAGAGGGACATCAAGAACGCCACCACCAAGGGTCAAGGATGAGGTCATTTTCTTCCCAACACTACCGGCCTTCTCGTCAGAACGACCAGCGATAGTGGCCGATGTCAGCTCATTAGGTATCCTTATTGCGTTAAGACCAGCAACGCACCAACAAGCGTTGCCTGACGCCGGGGTCACTGAAGCAAGCAGGATCAATGACGAGAGCATTCTTCATAGTGGAATCCAGGTAGGCTTCGGCAATCTCTTTCATCTTTCTCGAGACCATAGAAGAAATGTTCTATGCAGAGGAAACCGCCATAAAACATTTCATTAATGAAATATAGACCGAGTGGATCAATTATCACTAAGTACAGGTTAATTATATTAGACAAAATGGTTAGTGACTCATTAAGTTATTTATTGAGCTAAGCAAATGTCAAAATTAATTATTGGAATATGCAATAAAAAGCATGCATCATAAATGTTATGTTTGATTTGGGCTTCGATGGGCGGGAGGGAAGCGTATGGGTTCATGTAATGATCCGTAGAAACCCTAGACGGCGGAGGAGCAGATCGCCAGCGTCAACGCCGAGAAGGACCCACCTCGCCGACTACAACTGGACCGCGTTCCTCGGATGGTATTTTCGATCTCTCGCCCTCGTGCTCCTCAAATTTCTCGCTCCCAGTTCCTTAATTCGCTTCGAACTGTTCCAGGTTTCAGTCTTTGTCCTGGCTCTGTATCATTTGAAGGAACGCTGGGCACGGCGGCGGCTTATGATGCCGTCGAGAGCCCTCTCAAACTTGAGGTTCTGGAAATTTGTTCCCTTCTAACCTAATATTGTTCCTTCTCTTTGCTGCCATGGGTTGGATGAAGGCATCTTGTGGAGTTTTCCTGAGGTGCTGGATGAAGATTAATTCACCTTTATTTAATGATAATTGATCCATTCAGTCTTTTTTTTTTTTCTTGCATATTGGATGTGAGAGTATTGGGGTGACACAATCTTACCAACTATTATACTTTGTTAAACATAACTATCTCATAGTTTACTTGAAAAAGCGTATGCAATACTGATGGGGCTGTTTACGTTTTTTTTCTTTTCCTTCGTTTTTTGTGTGACATCTACAAGTCAGAGAATGGTGATCAGGGATACAATCATTACCAATTTCTAGCATTAAAATGATATTGTATTTTTCTAGTGCAGGTCATGCCATTTTACTAGCATTAGTGAAATAAGGTTTGCACTCTTTTCTGCTTTTTTGTTAAAGCATTTGCGCACTCATGCTTGCCTTGCGGTAATCTCCAAAGCTCCAATTCCGTTTCCTTCTGCCGGAACGTAATAGATGAACATTGGTGTACTGTCTTTAAAAGTGAAAGCATATTAAATGCAAATCGTGGCTTGTAAGAAACAGGAAATCAGTAGTACCTGACTATATTTCTAGATCATGGATCGATATCACCATTAACTTCACCAAGGCATGTTGTTCCATTGTTTGCTGCTGTCTGTCTTCTCACGGAACTTGCTTGAATCCATTCTTGCTTGGTGGACTCTAAACTTATATATTCTAATGAACTGAGTAGTTATGTGCTTTTCCATATGATAAGTTTCGTGAGTTGTGATGATTTAATAGATGATGACTTGATAGGATTGGAGAAACTAGTTTGCAGATTCAACGAGTGGATTTCCAATGATTACATAATCTCTTTCAGCAAATTGATTCCAAATGATGGTGAACCCGCAGACAAGGTTTCTGAAGGTATATTTACTCCAATCTACTTGTATCAAACACTTGGAATGAGAAAAGGAATGCTGCTGTCTGGTATTCATCTGATTTGATTCTTGCTTCTGGTTATATCCTATCCAAGGGAAGAGAAGCCAATTGTAAGGTAAGGAATGCTGGGCTGACTAATTCAATCTCATTACTGGGGGCTGAGAGTAGTGTGGCTGTGGCCAAGCCTTTCTGTGGGCACTCAAAATGTGTGGAGTTGGTCCCTCGTTCTCTGTACTTCCTGTTAAAAGAAATGTGAGGACCTCAAATGCAAACCATGCACAAAAGCTAGACAGCTAATTGAGAGAGCTCCACATGCATGGTTGAAGCTAATCATGCATGGGCCCACGAAAGCATTCATGGGGACGTAATCTGTTCTTCTTCTCTTCTTTGTTTTAGAATCTTCCCTGCTCATCAGGTTGGTTGATAACTGTATCTCACTGTCAGATGGCATATGCACTCATAATATTCGTCTTTGTTGGCTGATAGATTGGAGTTAGTAACACAATTATTTGTTAGTGGTGTTTATTCAAATGCTGCAATGTTCTCATCTAAGCTGTTTTTTGGCTCTGCAGATCAGAATTCAGATAACCATCCGTGACGCATTGAGGCATTGCATGTTAACGGCATCCAAGCATCAAGCATGGCAAGATTTCTATTTCAACTTGTCCCTCCCTTATCTATGCTTCGGTTGGCCTTTGTACTTTATATTCAACAATAAACTCATGAAACAATAATATCATTCAACACGCCACTTAATTTTGAACAGCTTGATGTTCCGAAGACCTCCTCATGCCATAAGCAATTTTGTCCATCACTCTATAGCACTATTTAGTGTAGAATATACTACAATTTCTGTTCCCTCTGATTGTGTCTGGTATTTGCCCATAGTTTAGAATGCTTCCGTCTAATTTATTCATCTCGTTTTGTCTTCTGATTCTGAAGATGCTGTTCAAATGAAAAGCCTTAAAACAAGTGGTCGTAGGTCGTTTATAGCAGTGCTTTCTTTTATGACTCATGGTATTGGTCTCCATTTAAGCAATGCTTTCAAGGATAGGCTTTCAATTTTTTCCCCTCCCTGGGGATATACAGCTAATGATATGTTGACATGCAGGTGCTTTTCTTAACAATATTGCACTTTATTCTTGGCCCCACTCTATCATGCTGTTACTAGTAGCTAATTTACATATGAAATGCATCCATGGACATCATTCTGAGGGTAGTTGGCTCTGCTTTGTAACTGTCAAAGTTGATATCCAACATGGAGAGTGCATCAGATCTGCTGATTATTAGCAGCCTACACATCCTAGTTCAGGTTTCGATTATCGAGAGGCACATCAATGATCCATGGAGCTTTTGATAGGGTTAATAAAATTTTAAATACTGAAAAATGACCCATTGATCAAACATTTAAGAATTAAGTAAGAATTTTATGTGCCAAATGCTCTTAGTTCATATAATCCATTTGCAATCGTTTATGGAAGGGTCTCTACAAACTTGTTGTCTGTAGTGTTCAAATGCCCAGCATGATCAATTTCATAAGAACCATATTTTTTGACTTTTGGAGCAATTGTTCAAATGCTCAGCATGTAACAATAATGATGGTCCTTTCACATGTTATTTTACATGAAGAATATTGAACTCTGTTGTTAGGATGGTACCACACAAAGGTGTCATTTGCTGCTTCAAAGCTGATCCCATCATCTTAGATGACTTATGCCTTAATGTGCAGTGATTATGTTAACGATGGTTTTGATTCAAAGAACTGAGCCTTGCCTCAACTTTAAGCTGATAATTAGGATAATGGCAATGAAGACGAGGTCTATGATGAACCTGATGCATCAGTTATCATATTGCTTGTTGTACCTAAGAAATTCTTTGGCAGGTAGACAAGCATGACTTTATTAAACTGATGGGTTGCTTAGTGTAGCTTATCTAGTTTGCAATTGTCAACTTATATAAGAGCTGCAAAAGTTGTAGGAGTACCTCAGGCATCTTAATAATATATACCTGCTACTAAATCTTCTTCGTCTTCTACAATAAGGAAAAGACAAATTTATTCTCATAGAGTACAAGTGCAAACAAACGCAGGGCATCTCAACATCAGTTTTACTTGGTATCCCTTTAGTATGTCATAGAATACAGGTACCACTAAGACTCCCTCACAAAAGACAAAATTAATGTTTTATTCACATTTGTTTCTTGTTTTCAACAATTGCTTTGCACTTATTTCAGCTACTATTTAATGGGATCATAATTGTTACTTGGTAAGTGAAACGATCCAAGGTTTTCCATCAGGAATCGTAAATTTCTATTAATTGGAAAGTTCTAGGGATAATTGGTGGGTACTGTTGTTGTCTGCAAAGAGAAAGAGAACTGCAATGCTTTCTTTCATTCTTTTTCTTTGCAGAAATTGACTTTGTGTTGTATAAAATGTTTGCGCTAATATCATTGATGATGTGATTTAGATTTTTCATTGATGTGTGACTAAGCATAGGCAAACATGACCACCGACGAGGATTGTTTAGTATGTTTACCTCTTCCATTGCATTCATCTGACCCTTTATTGGTTATTGGGTTTGTGTGGAGTTCCTTGTTACTTTGTAGTTTGAGGGGTTTGTGTAAGAATTCAAAGCTCGTGTCCTGATCTGCACTTCGCTAGGATAAGTCACTGCCAAGAGACGAAAGTGTGCTGCTATCTGATTAGATGGAGAGGATGGTTAGATAGGTTACAGACTTTCCTCAGAAGACCGCTCCTGTTTTTTGACCAAGTCCCCCATAATTGAGAGGCTGATACAAACTGTCCTGCGTACAGACGCCTACAACGAACACTAATTCTCCCCTCCCCCCACTTCTCCTCTCTTCCCACAAATATTTCTCCTTTCTTGGCTTTGCGGCAAATCCAAATGGAGGCGGCTTTTGCGTGACCTCCTCCGTCGCCCCATCGCAGCCGCCTCCCTCGATCTCCTCCAGGTAATCTTCCGCGAGAGATTCATCTAGTCCGCTGATTGTTGTGGGGCCGGGCTTAGGGTTTCGATTCGGCCGTCCGCTTGATCGGTGGCTGGTTGGATGGAGTTGGATCTGATCCTTCCAGCTCCGGCTTCCGCTCCCCTTTTTGGAGGTTTTCGGTGGATTGTATAGCGGTGGATCGCGAAAGGTCTCGCTTTCTGTTGTTTTTGCTCATTCGGTTCCTCGTTTCTGTTGGATCATTTGTCCTACTTTTCTTTTTGGTTTCTGTGTGTTCGTAGATTCTTCTTTCTATTTTTCTTTGCTGAGAGGGAGAAATTGGTTTGAAGGTTGTGTGTTTTTTTGGGGTTTGGTGGTGGGATTTATGGAATGGAACTGTGAGGATTTTTCGTGGGATGCTTCTATTTGGTGTCGTGGGTCTCGAATCTTGCCAGATAGATCGGAGTCGAAGAGGAGAGGAGACGTGATCAAGGGAAGAAGAAGAGACGGAGAGGGGCGAGGGAGACCCCGCCATGGGAGAGTCCCTCCTCACCGCTCTCTCCATGGACCATCACCACCACCCCTCAACCCTCCTGTCAATGGACCCCAGCGGCATTTCACAGCCGCCGCTGATGGCAGCCTCCGTCCACGATGACCACGACCACGAGCTTCCGAACCGCCAGCATCAGCAAATCCACCTCTCTGGTCCGCCGGACATCAACCTCCCCCTCTCCGATGACCACTCCCCTCCCAAGCAGTCGTGGAATTCATGTGACGTGTTGGATGTCAGCCTTGAGACCCAGACGTACGACCCTGAAATCATGCTCGGCCTTCCCAAGGCTGGGACCGTTCATGCTGCTGGTCGCAAGTGTGCCAAGAGAGGGAACAACATCTGGGGTGCGTGGTTCTTCTTCAATTTCTACTTCAAGCCCGTGCTCTCTGAGAAGTCCAAGGGCAAGAACATCCGCAATGCAAACGGCATCCTGGGGTTTGACAAGTCGGACCTGCATCATGATGTTTTCCTTGTTCAGCATGACATGGAGAATATGTATATGTGGGTGTTCAAGAAGCGGCCAGAGAATGCGCTTGGAAAGATGCAACTTCGGAGCTACATGAATGGGCACTCTCGGCTTGGGGTGCCTCAGTTCCCATTCAGCATTGATAAGGGTTTCGTACGATCCCATCGGATGCAACGCAAGCATTACAGGGGGCTGTCTAACCCACTGTGCATCCATGGAATAGAGGTTGTGTGGTCACCAAATCTCTTGGTGGTTCCAGAGGTGGATCTTAAGAAATGGCTGGAACTTACTGGGAGAGACCTGAATTTTTCGATCCCACCAGAGGCTGGTGATTTTGGGGCATGGAGGAATCTCCCGGGCACTGATTTTGAGCTTGAGAGGCCACCTCCTCCATTAAAGAGTACTTCTCATCCCAATTCAAGGAAATTGCTAAATGACACAGGTCTTAAGTTATCAACGCAGCCATCAAATCATGCGTGCGGAGATTCGATGGACCTTTCGCCTAAATGTAGCAAACGCAGGAAGGAAATTTCCCCTCTTGACACAGATGAGGACTGCTGTTTGTCTAGTTACTCATATTTGGATCGGCCGGAAATTCACCCTGCTGTGCCTTCCTGGGTAAATGAGTTCACCGGTGCTATGAGGCATGCGTGTGGACCGGTGACTGCTGCAAAGACAATATATGAGGATGAAGGGGGTTACTTGATCATGGTTAGCTTGCCTTTTTCTGACCAGCAGAAGGTAAAGGTCTCTTGGAAAAACAATCTTACCCATGGGGTAGTAAAGATTTCATGCGTCAGTACTGCTCGGATGCCTTACATAAAAAGACATGATAGAACCTTCAAGCTGACAGATCCTTCTCCTGAGCATTGCCCTCCAGGGGAGTTTGTAAGGGAAATACCTCTTGCTACACGAATTCCTGAAGATGCAAAGCTGGAAGCATACTACGATGAGACGGGAACTCTTTTAGAAATAATGATACCTAAATATCGTGTTGGACCTGAGGAACATGAGGTTCATGTGAGCATGCACCCTCCTCATCTTGGATCCAACGAACTTCTGTCATCTCGAACACCATAGTATAGTGTGTAGTGGTTGTTACGATGGTCAGTTCTCATTGTCTGCTAACCGTTTTATCATAGAGGGAGCGTATGCGTTGGAAGTCCTTTTGCAACTGGGTTTTGCTGATTGACTTGCTGCTCTGGCGTGTTTGATGAGAAAATAAACTGGGATGGGACAAGAGCTTCGCACATGGGGTAATCGAAGAAAAGTGGTATGGTCTTCACTTTTCATGTTCATACAGCAATATGCGAATGAAGTCAGGTTTATGAATTCTTTTTTTTTCCTTTATAACTGATTATTTTGTAGGCAAATCCCTGCTGATTTGTTGGCATATCACACTTATCTCCATGGAATGTGCTTGAGTCGAAAATTGTGCAGTCATTGATATTTGGTATTTTAAGGTGTTAGTATTATATTGTTGATTCACAGAGGAACTATTTATTGTATATTGACTAATTCAGAAACAGTCAATTGTTGCTTCACAGAGGAACTATTTATTGTAGATTGACTAATTCAGAAACAGTCAATTGTTTTGGTATTCAAAGGATTTCTTTGATCAAGGGAAATTACTGGATATCACTTTATTCTATTTACTAAGGTACATACTATTTTCTTTTCATTAATACTCAGCTTGTTTATCTAGACGTACGTTTGATTAATTCAGTTGCTGCAGCCTTTTACTTTATCGTCATATTATCAGACTAGTGTCCATACTTTGCAGTGCTTATTTTTTACCACTAATCTTGAGTTCTGAGTTAATCCAGGCAAGGTTCAATTAGCAATTACCAATCTACCTTGTACATGAGATTCTTTTTTATTGTTTGGTCATTTTGGATTATCCATACTTTGCATTCAGATGTTTCCCCATACTTTTGTATTCCTCAGCGGCAGATGAGGAATAAGCACTATCAAACAGCTGCAGGAATCTGTTTTATTGCGTTTGGAATGAGATTGCCCTTTTAATTGTTTGGAACTCAACTGATGATTGTCACAGCATTAGTAGGGTGTATTATCTAAATATTCTACCTTTTTTATATGGTTGGATATTCATAATGTGGTCATTAGGATATTTTTGTGCCCCTATATTTCGATCCCATCTCTGTTAACAAATCCTTCTCATTTATTCCATACTCTTTGTTTTTCATCTCGAAACTATGACTATGAATGTGAAAGGGGTCACATCGGAAATCTCACTCAGCTGAATTAGATCACACACAAATGATGTCATCACACTTAATTTTATACTGCTCTCCTCCAACTGCTAAATGAACATATCTCTGTTTGTCTTTAGAACGAGGATGATATTTCTACATTCGAATATAAGACAGCTTTGTCAAAGCAGAGCAAGAAGAAGTGTTAGATTCGTAGGATAAATTATATCATTTGATTCAACTCTTCTAACAATATTTGAGTGGGTTGGGCTAGGGTTAATTATAATATTTTTAATATTTTGATTTTTATATTTTTAAAAATTATATTAAAATCTTTATACTTACTGAAATATATATATTTTTTTTAATTTTTAAGTTAATACGTGTGTAACGATATAAGAAAAAAAAGGAAACTAAATGTTTTATTTTTTTAAACATAAAGATCTTAAAATATAAAGATTAAGATGTTAAAATAATTAATTATATTGGATAATTTATTAATTCAAAATTACGTGGAATGCTACTTAATTGTCACGCCTAAAAAGGAGTTTGTCAACGTCGTACGGTATCATCTCACCACAAAAGGGACGACAAGTAGTCAGATCCGTCCCACGCTGCTCCGTTACAATTGGCCAGCCAATAATCTCGCACAAAATTTACAATATCGCGTCCGGAACTAACGGCCGTCGCCGTCTCATAACGGATAAAACCACAAGAAGTGCGCTCCGCTCGCTCGCTCTCCCTCCTTGCGGAACCTCCACCACTTCCTCTTCCTCTCATCCTCTCCCCTCTCTCGTCCGCCTCCGACCCCCCTATGAAACCCTAACCCCGACGCCTCTAGAAATCCCTCATCCATGGCGAAAACCCTCATCTTCTCCCCTTCCTCCTTCCTCGCCGCGCCGCTCCCTCCCCTTCCTCGCCGTAGCCGACTCGGGTTTCCGCTCTACAGGCCCCGCAGGGCGGACACGAGGGTCAGGATGACCTTCCATGGGGCCCCACCTCCTAACGGCGTCGATTCGTTGGTGGATCTCCACGGGATCGTTTCGAGAGTGGAGGGTCTATTGTACACGCTTGCGGATGCCGCCGTGGCCACGGACGCCACTGCTGCCGCACCTGATGCTTCCACCGTGGTTCAGAAGAACGGCGGATGGTTTGGTTTCATCTCGGATGCCATGGAAGTAGTTCTCAAGGTGCTTTCTATTTTCCACGCTTTCGTACGCTGGGAATTTAGAGATTTCTTGCACAAGTTGCTGTCTTCTGGTATGCTGATTTTGTTGAGGGAGAACGAGGGAACTTTGAATTAGGCGAGATTCTGAAACTTGTTTGATTTCATCTGTCTAGTAAGTTTATAACTGTCAGTGTTCAAAATAGATACTGGATAAGTAGTTCACAAATTGAGATTCTTCTTGCAATTATTTAGCCAAAGCATGGTCGCATTTGCAGCAATCTACCAAATGAGGAACATTTTTACAATGACTCCTACGTTATGAGATGAATATGATTACAAATTATTTGTTTGCCTCCTCACTAGTTTCAATCCACATGCAGTAATAAACATGCATACTTCTATATTTGACAAACCTTTTTGTTATGCATCGTGGGACCCAAATTGTTCTGGTTTTAAGTGTCCTGTACTTGATCACATCCTCTACTTTTCTACTTTTATAAACTATGAGTGGCATCAACATCGGCGTACTCGAATACATCCTTTAGCTATGTATTCTGTAAAACTTCAAGTGGCATCAACTTCCTTTAAGCTATCATTATAGCAACACAATCTAGCTGGTCCGTCAGACACTTACTGTATTTGAGGCATATAAGTTTACTTGTCAGTTTTGGAGTATAGAGAAAATATCCTAATTGATTGTTTTGTAAGCAACTGTCTTATCTTGTCTAATAGTGATTTCTATCCTTTGTTTCATAGGCATCTCTTTGTTATTGAAAGAAAGAACGATTTACTTCTCCTAAGTAAAGTTACATCATGTAATAGAAGACTAATTTGACATTGTCATATCCAGGTGCTAAAGGATGGCCTGACAGCAATACACGTACCATATTCTTATGGTTTTGCAATTATTCTACTTACCGTAATTGTTAAGGTGCTGACCTTGCCTTTGACCAAACAGCAGGTGAGTGATCGTACTACTGCATCATAAATGAGAAATGAATTCTTCTTATTGCTTGTCAATTAGTTCCTACAGTTCTCTGCCCGTGTGCTTATAGTACAGAACTAAAACAAGTGCCATATCTCCCTTGGCTACTGTCTCCAGTTGGTTTTGCTGCATTCGTGTCTCCTAGGAATATCTGATATGTGGACATCTAACTGGATGCATTTTAAAGCATACCAATTGTTATCTAAGCCTCTAAGAAGTTGCTCTACCTGTTTAATCTGTTCTTATGTAAATTCTTTCTATTATTAGCTAATACATAATTTTATTGATTGCAATTGTGTCAATATGCTAGTGTATATTCTCACAGTCGCCCCCTTACTCCGTAGGTTGAATCAACCTTAGCTATGCAGAACTTACAACCAAAGATCAAGGCAATTCAAGAGCGATATGCAGGCAACCAGGTTTGCTCTAAATCCTCATGCTAGTCTCAGTCAAACAACTTTTAAAAGAACTCCACTCCATTTTGGTGAAAATAATGTGAGTCTTCATGTCTTTTTTTTCTCTTAGTTATCTGGTAATTCTTCCTGGCATTTGCAATATTGTTTTGATGTTTTTGTTTTGTTTTTAAAAGCAAATAATTAAAATTTGGTTGTAAATCAATGTTATCACTTGTAAAAGATGTGTATTTCCTTGTGGTTTGTAGAACTAAAGTAGGGTAATTTCTATACATCTAGTCATTAGGTCAAAACTTTTCCTTTTTGTTTTATCTGTATTCTTACTTTCAGGATATAATTTCTTTTTTCTGCCTTCTTCTGGCATCTAGTGAATTTCTTTGGCAACCTTATTATTTTTCTAATTATTTTGTTTTTTTTCTCATTAGGAAAGAATACAGCTGGAGACTGCTCGTTTGTATAAACAAGCTGGGGTGAATCCATTAGCAGGTTGCTTTTCATCCCAGATTTTTTTTCAACCTATTCATCTCCATATTCGTTTCCAGTTTCTTATTGCTTAGATTCTAAAATTGCATTCCAGACTATTTCCAGAATAGTTGATGTAGAGATGTTTCAAAATTTAGTAAAATTTTAAATTAGATAGTGCTTCACTCAAGTGTGTTTTCTTACTTGACAAAGGGCTTTATAACATTTTAAAATCTTTTTAGAATGAATTGTTTTGATGACTGTGGTGTCTGGAAAGGTCTAAGATGAAGAGCATCAATTAAGCTTTCTACTATTTAAGCGTCAATTAAGCTTTCCACTATATAATTCACTATCATCACATTTCTTTGGACTATTGGTTGGAATCGGTTTTTCAATTCATAATGTATGAATTGCTCTGGGGTTCACATATCCTTAGTTATTAAGATTGAATGCTCATCTTTGATGATCTCTAGATCATTATTTTAGTATTCTAGTCTTTTTTTTTGTTATTATTAGGGGAAACAGCTGCCCATTGTTGAACACCTCATTTTATTTTCTAACTGTGCTTATTCTGGATATTTTCTATATCAAATGTCAGGCATTTCTTTTAATAATTTTTCTTGATGGCCAAAGGTTGCTTCCCCACTTTGGCTACGATACCTGTTTGGATTGGTCTGTATCAAGCTCTTTCAAATGTAGCAAATGAGGTACTCATTATCCACTTCCATTGTGTAGAAAGACAGTCATGATGTGACTCAAAGTTAAAAGTATCCTTTGACTATCAAATTTCTGATTTGCAAAAATCTTTAACTGAAGGGATTGCTGACAGAAGGGTTTTTTTGGATTCCCTCATTGGGTGGTCCAACAACAATTGCTGCCCGACAAAGTGGATCTGGCATTTCATGGCTCATACCATTTGTGGTAATCAAATATTCTATCACAATGGAATTACTCAGAAGTAAATAGATATTGATTTTAAGAATTATGTTGTTACAAAATTAGTCAGTTATGACTATTGTCATACTTTTTGTAGGATGGACATCCACCCTTAGGATGGTCTGACACGGCAGCATACCTAGTTTTACCTGTGCTTCTTGTTGTTTCACAATATGTCTCTATGGAGATCATGAAGCCACCTCAGGTCAGTTGCATTACTCAGCTTCTTGCCCCCTTTTTCTCTATTATCTTTTCACTTGTGAGTTGTTGGTCTAAATATCTGTTTAACCTAAACTACATGATTCCATTGGTAGACAAATGATCCAGCTACAAAGAATTCACTTCTCGTTTTCAAGTTTCTTCCTCTTATGATTGGTTACTTTGCACTATCAGTCCCTTCAGGACTCTCTATCTACTGGTACGTTGATAATTTATTTAGCAATATCATTGTGCTGATTTTAAAAGTTAGTATCTCCTTTAACTTATTTTCATTTGTACTAATATGAATATGCTTATCTGAAGTAGTGTGCTTTATGTTTTATTTGAATGGAAGTTCTATGATATGTCATTTCTAGCACATTAAAGCAATAAAATTAGTACTCTGTGTCTATGATTTCTTGAACAGTCCATGTATGTCACTGCTTGCATAGTGTAAGGTGTTTGTGCGAGTGTTGTTGTTTCCATCAAATTCAGATAATAAAGTTGAAGGAAGCCAATACGATATCATGTGGCAAATGATTGAAAGCAGTAAAAAGATGCAATAGATTGTGCTCCATAGGTTCATTATGTTCTGCAAGATTGAGCACTACTGCATTGGATGCAAGTTCCATAGTTCCAGAATGCTTGTTTGATCAACCAATTTGATTGATGCTGTATCGTTTTCCCATCGCTGAAGGCAATGCTTTAGAAGAGTAGTAGTGTCAAATGGGTGCCAAGATGATAGCCATCATATAGGTGTTAGATGGTCACTTGGCAACAATAAATAAATAAATAAAAATATGTACTGAGAAATGTCAGATAATGGATACATATCATTTTTTATTTCATTTTTAAAGCATTCCTAACTCATGCATTATAAAAATCAATAAAAAAATTGGACTTTTTTGGTAGCTTGTACTGCTTTTTATTGTGAGGATAAAAAGAGAAATTTAAGATGAGGGAAAGGGAAAAGAAAATTAGGAGAAATGAAAAATTCGATATTCTTTTAGTTGTTTTCTTTTGATCTTCATCTTCTACTAGGCCTAATGTAAACTTGTCCTTGTTATAGTTCTCTGATTTCTCACTTTGTATGGAGAGGGAAATTTGGCCATTTGCTTTAAAGTGAGAAGTGTTTTATAGTACGAGTCACTTAATGGATAGTTCATGGATTACTGGAGAACCTATAATATATATTTTTATTAAAACAATGAATGGCCAGATTAAATAGACCACCTCATATACGACTACCATCTAGTATGCCTTGTTCCATTATTTTCCCAAAATAATGATTGTAGGTTTAAACCTTTGGCTCGCTTTAAACTATTTTGTGTTGGTGGCTGCCTGATGCACATCCCTATGATTGTCCTATCAATACAAAATGGTTGGTAATTTTTAGCTCAAAATGTCATGATCGGACATGATGGGATAACTAGCCTGTTAACTTCGTTGATGGCTCAAAATGTAAGCTGAAGTTAAGGGGTGTTACAATCTTCCCCAATAAGGTTTTGACGTCCTTATGAAGGCCCAATATACCCTGGATCAAACCCTAGCATGATGCATGTGAGATATAACCTAGTGGTGGCTCCACGCCATGTATGTTCTGACCCCATGCACGTGTATTCCTTTTCTACTCGAGCCACTCATCGTGTCTCAATACTAGGTCGGCTCTGATACCAATTGTCACGACTTGATGTGATAATTGGTTCACTAACTTTGTTGTGCCTGAACCACTGGCTCAAAATACTTAAGCTGAAATTAAAAATAACACACTCATCAAACCCTTATAAGTCAGTCTTAATCTTAACCTACTTCTGATGTGAGACTAATTGGAGCGTTTTAGAAGAGTTTCGGCTTGGGTCTTTCAAAATGCAACTATAACTGTCTCTATATGTGATTCCATAGACTATACGTTAACTAGAAAGACGACTAAGGACATCTTTCTTTATCTTTGCATGGAGTATGTCTGATAGGCAGCCGTACTGCATAACCTGGCTTACCATATGATCTCATCTGGATCTGTTTTTATATCTATTATCGTAATTTGCACAATCTGCCACCTCCTATGCTATTGATTTCTGCATGCTCTTTTTTTTCAATTTGCTATTGTCTCTTCTGTATCCTGAAAGTTCATTTTCTTTAAGTAATATTTGTGTAGTTACAAGCTAATCCAGCATTCTTTTCAGGTTCACAAACAACGTTTTAAGCACAGCTCAACAGATATGGTTACGTAAACTAGGTGGGGCAAAACCTGTTGTTAGTGGGGATGCTGGTGGAATCATCAGTGCAGGACGAGCAAAACGTTCTGCTTCTCAGCCAGAACGAACCGGTGAAAGGTGCTTATCCATTTTAATATGAAATTGTGTTCTCTTAACTATTTGAAATATCAATCGTGCTACTGACATGTACATGAAAATTAGGTTTAAGCAATTAAAAGAACAAGAAAATAGGAAAATGCTCAACAAAGCATTGCCAATTGAGGAGGGGCAGGGTTTGGCTTCCACATCTAACGCTGATGATGAGTCGGATGGGGAGTCCATCGACAAGGTTTGCTATCATTCTTATGCTTCATTTAGCCTTTCTACTTCAGTGCTAGTATGTTAGAAGAATTGAACCAGAGAGTCCACGTGCACATGTTTTAGATGTATTTATTCTACATGCACATGTTTTATCCTTAGCAGGGAATATATATTACTTCTTGGTGAAATGTGGGATTGCTCCCTCCTTTTACCTTGTTGGGTTAAAAGAGCTATAGTAGATGATTTTTGTTATATTTTGGACGAATAAGGTTTGCTTACTGGCATTAACCCAATGACAGGGAGAAGTTCCAGAGGAGACCTATGCTTCCAATGAAAGCAAAAAACTTCCACAATATAATACTACACCGAAGAAGGGGAAGAGATCGAAAAGAAAGCGCGTAGTACAGTGATTATTTGTAGCATCTCCTCAAAGTCAATATATCTCGCCATTTTTTTTTTGTTTTTACTTTGGTTTGTTTACATAAGTTGTTCGATTCGATCAGAAGAGCAGAGTAACTGGTGGGGAAAGGATCCCATTTTTTTTTTTCTTTTGTAGTTTTCTTTCTTCAAAGCAATATTTTCTTTAATGTATTTGTATAATCAATCTACTTAGTGTATGGCAAGATAAAAATAGATAGATCATGTCACAAGATGCAATATCTTCAGACCATTTTGCTATATACTTCAAATTGATATGCTCTAATGTCGTATTGAACTCTGGTTGTTTTCTGATTTGTCACAATATACTTATTATATTCATGATCGCCCGCTTGAGTCTCGATAGATCTTGTAGCAAGTTTCTTTATATCTTCAAAGCATGATATTATTATGATGCTTACATTGACGCATGTCTACTGGAGTTTACTTATTGCTGTGATGCAACGCCTTTTCATGAGCATCATCTTGAAATCAATTTACAAATGTCTCGAGAACGTGTGTTATTTCGGGTGGGGCCCTGCAAATTTCCGCAGCTGCCTCGTGGCGTTCGATGACCGAGAAGCGTCTACACAAACGGAACCGCTTAACAGAATATGACACGGAGGACGTGTCTACTCATGAGTAAATCACGGGTTTCTTGTTTCCTACCCGAGTAAACTACCTGACCTATTATTCGTTGCAGATGCAGGTTCAGTGAGACCCACACATGGGACCAGCTCTGCCACCGCAGGTGAGTTCTGACTACCCGGAAAGTGGGTGAGATAACTTTTCAATAATGATATAAGCGGACGGCGACAGAGAGAGAAAGGGGAAACTGCCATTTGGGAAGTCGGATCGCGAGGAAAGCAATCAGCGAAGCGGCCGAGGGTTTTCGTGGGGAGAGGAGAACACGAGAACCGGGGAGAGGAGGGGGCAACTTTCGATCGAAACCCTAGGATCCTTCTTTCTCGCAGGGGCTACGGCGCGGCTGCCATGTCTGCGGGGATCTGCGGCAAGCGCCTAGGGTTGGAGGAAATCTTCGGGTCTCCGTTGCCGCCTCCGCCGTCGGCCAAGAGATCTCGCTGCGCTCGCTACGGATCACCTGTCCGCCACTCCAACTCCGACTTCGGCCTAGGATCCGAGGATAAACTCTCCATACTCCTCCGCATGTTCCCCGCGATGGACCGGAAGGTATTGCTCCTCCCTCTTCCACCCACCTTTCCTCTTCTTTGAGCTGGTTGGTTGGTTGGTTATGTGTTGTGATACCGCTGTACGAATTGTGTTCTTGGATCAACTAAATCCAAGAACCTCCAAGAACGCGTTTCTTTCGTGATAAAGCCTGATTTCCTTGCTTGTTGGTACCTGCTTTAGTGGAATAGATTGAAGATCAAGATGCACGAGCAAGTTGGGTTAAGACCTTTTGGTCTTTCATCGAACACAAACCTTCTTGCTGACTTTCATTAGGGATTTTTTAAAAGGAGAATGCAAAAGGGACAAAAGATGTTACATGGGTTCGAGGTTATGAAGTTACGAAGCTTATAAGTTCCTTTGTTCTTGAGTGAACCTCGTTTGCTGAATTGATGAAGTTGGGCAAACAGTTGGTCCTAGCAATTGGTTTAACATCTTCTTTCCTCGTTCGTGGTCAATGGTTGAACGAAGTATTTAACATTCATCATCCTGCACATCTCTGAGATAGATGTTAAGGACACCATTCTCAGTGGGTTACATATCACATTCAAACTGGTAAAACAATTTCCATTCTATTGTTGTCTCTCTGTCCTTATGTTCATAACTACCATTGTATAAATCTGGCTGTTGATTGACCTCGGTTCTCTTCCTAGCCATTCTATCTATTCCTCTGCCTGTTACTAACATATTTTTTTTTGTGGCTTAGGAATCAGGGAATGATTCTTGATTTATGCACGATGCATGAATTCAAGTTTCAAACTGGTGGAAGAGTGTTATTTTGATGGATTTATTTTCTTTCATAAGTGCCATGTTTGCTGTTTCTGTTAGTCCATGGATGTCTTACGATATATCAGGCAATTTCTGTCATGGCAGGAGGATGGCCTTATTTGAACTCATTCTTAAGATTTATATCAGGCTATACAAAATGCTCTATGTAGTGATTAATGCATACACACAAGATAATCTTTATTGACAATTATAATCTGTCATCATTATTTTATTCATTTAGTGAGCAAATATGTTGAATGAGCTACACTTAAGTCTAATCAGTTGAGGGATGGCGTCATTCACAAATTGATACTGATTTTCTTCCTTTTTTCTGCCAATTAGGAAATGCTATTACCCAGGTTTTGATGACCTTGAACAATTTGATGTGTTTCAGGTTGTTGAAACAGTTTTGAATACTCAAGATCACAAAATTGATGATGCCATAAAGAGTCTCCATGCTCTGTGCCTTGGTGATGGTTCTTTGAGCACTGAAGGAGTGATCTCTGATTTACAATCAAATGATAGTGTTCTTGAAGGTTAGTGTTTGTATTTCCTTTTGATACCATCGCATCCATCTCAGTTTGACTATACGAGTGATGCTGCTATTGTGGTGTGTGGAAACCTTTTGCATTTTTCTATTTGACCATTCATCTGATGATGCAATCCAGGTGTCATGAATTCACAGACATCTGGAAAGAAAGTTGAAGTCTCTGAGAATGATGGGGCAGACCTCCAGTCTGGGGAAGCCGGTAAAGGAACTTCTTGGGTTGATATATTTGTAAAGGAAATGATGAATGCCTCAGATTTGGGTGATGTGCGTGGTCGTGCAATGAAGATCTTGGAAGCTTTTGAAGGAGATGTTGTTGCTCAGACTACAGCAGTAGTAGAGGTAGATAACTTTGAACACTGAATTCTGTTACGGTAGAAGCATGTTTTTTTATTATTGTCTTGCTATTAATTTTTGGTCCTCCCCTTGGTTTGATTTCATTAAGCAGAATGAGAGTAATTTGTTAAAGGAGCAACTCCATTGCTTAGTCAGAGACAACCAGATCCTAAAGAGGGCTGTTGCTATTCAGCACGAGCGAAATTCAGAGAATGAGGAGAAGATTAGGGAGGTGCAACATTTGAAGCATGCTATTTGCCAGTATCAAGAGCAAGTCCGGGCATTGGAGGTAAATAGAGGTGACTCTGGTGTCTGCTAATGTTTTAGTTTTAGCCAGGTAGGTAGTTTGAGGAATCTAAGGTTAACATAATGTTGTGTGGTTCTGACATGCCTGGTGTTTGATAATCCTCCTTCTGACTTAATTTTCTTTTGTTTGAATGGTGAAAAGCTACTTGTTTTTCGCAGATGCACAATTACACATTGAAGATCCATCTTCAGAAGGCACAAGAAGCTAATTCTATTCCAGGTTGTTTCCATCCAGACATGTTCTAGGTTGCATATATCAATTGTTCAATTATGGTTGTGAGATATAAATGGGTAACCAAGAAAGAGCTTGAAAGTGTATGTTTGAGTTGGTAATTGAGCTTTCCTCATTCTGTGCCACAATTAATAACAAATCAAGATCTTGTTACAGCCAGTGCAGGGGATATAAAAAAGGTGAGTGAGCTGTTTGCTCAAAAGAAATTAATTTTACTTTTTTTTTTTTTTTTTGAGAAAGTGGCTCATCTCATCTCCAATGATGTAAGTTTTCTTTAGGAGGAACGAAGGCTTTTTTTTTTTTCAGTTACTGTTGTAGAGGGTTCATATTTTGTTCCAGCTTGTTTGTTAAGTTCAGAAAACAGAGAGATTGTGGATGACAATAAGTTGTTTATTCTGCTAATAGTTGATTAAAGCTGTTTTGATCCATGTATCTGATTATCTTGAGTGATGAAACTATTATAGTTGAGACGTGCAGGGAGTAGGAAGCTGAGTAGAAGTCGACTGGTAGATGCTTGAAGGAAATGACGAACTCTGAGTAGGTTGCATTGCAACATCGTGAGTTGATATGTTATTGTTTAAATGGTGCCTTCCAGGACTACTGTTTGTGTTTGGTTTAAGTTCATAATAATCTCTGAAACGTCTGCTTGACAGAGCAAGTTTGCTTGGCTATGGCATGGATGGTTATCGCTGATTATGGCTTTCATGCTTCCCATTGTCTTCTTCTTCGACTCCCATGGTGTTGTGTTGTGGCTCCATGACCTGAACAAGGTATATATACATGGGAGGAAGAGGGTGCTCTCAATAAAGGCACTCGAATGAGGATGTTATGAACCTGGTTTTAACATCCTGGTTCGGATTCAAAGTACTGCTCTTAGGCAAAATGGTAACACAACTCATCCTTGTGCATTTTCATTCGTTAGATAGTAACCTCTCTAATATATCTTGCTTGCATGGTAACTATTCTCTCTAATATATGTTTGGGTTAAAAGAGTGCTTAGAGCTGTAATTAGAATTGTACAATGAGATTTGTCATTGCAAGTAGATTGTTTTGATGCTTAAGGTCAGGATAATGGCATGCCTTGATATCAGGTTATGTGCATGGACTTTGATTGCTTGAATATAGGATCAACCAACTAAAATATCTTTTTCTTAAACAGTCTTTTCACCTTTTTTTATCTCTGTTCCACTTTGAACTGCTTTTCCGATAACTGTGTTGCATCTCTTCCTCCTTTTTTATATTAAAAATCCTGGAATGTGCATATAAAATTTATTATTGGTTAAATGGTTTGGTTGATCAAAGAGTAAAAAAAAAAAAATCTGATTTTGTAATACTTAAAGTCAAGGCTAAGGTTTCAAAGTTTGAGTTACATGAACAATTTTAGTTTGAAGCTGGTCATGGTTATAAGCTGTTTTTCCTTGTGCACATTGACTTGCATGATAATAATCCAATGAAGGTATGTTAAATTATCATTATGGACTAGCATTGGTGATAGATATCAAGGAAGGTATGTTGAACAATTTACTTTTCTTTTGGGAATTTTTTTTTGGGTTTCATGTCTGAATGGTGTTGCTCTGTTTCTCCCCTGGTCAAGATTGACAGCAACACATATAGAAGAGATTTTACTCGATCAGTTGGTCATTTGTTCAATCTAGAACTTGGAACCTTTTTTTTTTGGCTATCTTCTTGAGTGGTTAGCACTTTTACCCACTCATAGCAATAATATATCTGTGCACTTTAGTAGCTAGCACTTGTTTTATTTTATTTTTATTTCACCCGTAATATCAGGCATCCCGATCTCCCCTTTTGAGTTTTATTCTGAGCGTTAATGTTCTTTGTATAGGCTATAGTTGTTCTGGAATCACCAGATGACTTGCTTGAAATATCTCGATTGCATCTTATTTTATTGTTGCTTTTCAGCTTCAGAAATTAAAAAAAAAATATTGTAGCGGGTGCCTCTACAAAGGTTATATTGTTCTTTCTATATAACCTTTACGAGACTGATCTTCGATGGTCATTTGTCAGTTACATTCATATAAAACAGTGCATCCTTGGTCAGGATTCAGTTAAGCATTAAAAAAGCAAACTTGGTGACTAGCAGGTTGACACTTAAAATAAATGTTTTAAAATAAATGCTACTTCAAAAAAAATTATTAATTTAAAATATCTACATTAACATTTTTTTACTAAAGTTTTATACTTTATTTTAAAAAAGCATAATTAAAGCAAAAAAAAAACAAAAAATTACTTTTACGTAATTAAAAAAATTTTACATCAAAAAAAAATTACATTGCAAGAAGAGAGCTTTCTAGCTCTTTTCCTACGCTCGAGCCTCGCAGGTTTGTATTTGGGCTGGAAAAAAGAACCCCGGTCGTAAAGCTTGCATTTAGTTGCTTTATCCACAAAATTATGTCAAGAATCTACGGGTTCATTTTGCATTTTCTCAAAAAATCCCATAGAATGATTAATTAATTACTTTTTTTATTAATAGTTTTCTTTTTTTTTTATGAAATGATTTCATATTAAAAACTCGCCCTTTGAATTATAGTGAGATAGCTATCCAAAATTTTCAAATTATTATTATTTTTCTTATTCTTTGCCACTCTCCTATCTATCATTGAAAAAATAAATTGCTACTACTCGATCCCTAATGATTTATTTTTGATATTTCTTGTTCTATATTTTTTTAATAACTTCACATAAGATTTTAACAATTTTTATCCCTAATGATTTTGTTTGTTGCACGTTGTTGGGAATTCGTGATTACCATTGCCGCAAAGGATTTCTTGAAAATAATATTTTCGAAAGTGTTAGACAGTAATTTGATTTCGAAAGTGTTAAGACTACTCTTTGTTGAAACTTAATCGTGCTTTGCATCGAAACTGTATGACGTCGGAAAATAAGAAATATCGCTGAAGCGCTGCAATCACAGCCTCGCTTGCCTGCAGCGTCGAACTTTTGAATTAAGCAAATTAGATTTCTATATAAAGAATGAAACATGGAACAAAATTGAAAGAAAAAAAAAAAAAGAAGTTCACAGATCATTCCAAGTATTTAAAAGTAAGGAAACACAGGCAGAAGAGCAATAGTTCACAGATCATGATGATCTCGTTCCATCATAAAACGCAACAAGTTATGTACCAAAACATCAGTTCCCATCAACACCTCACATAAAAAAGGAAAAATTTGGATTAGTCAAGAATACAAAATCAGTTCGACGGTTAAGCAATGCAACTGATTAAGAAACAGAAACACACGAACAACAACCAAAGAAGGCTCGAGACTCGAGAATCTTTGATAATATGAATGAGGAACAACAACAACAACAACAACAACGACCAGCCCCCCCAAAAAAACAAAGAAGGCACTAAGATTTGATTCAACCAAAAGGAAGTAAAATCAAGATCCGTAAAGAACACAGAATCAGTTCAGTTCGATAAAGAAGCTATGCAGTTTAATTGAAAAAAGATAAACACAAACAGCAAATGACTCGAGAATTTTGACAAATTGAAAAGACCTCGAACAGCAAGCCAAAGAACACAAATCTCAAATGCTCGACAGAGACCAACAACCCACGAAACACCAACAAGACTCTGCCTAAACAACATACGGCCACATACATGGCAAAGCACAATTTGCAAGAGCATGGAAGAAATGCAACAAGAATAACGACATCAAGTTTCTGTTGACAAGGAAGAAGCAAAGGACAATATAAGAGCATCAGCACAATTTGAGATACCAAGATCCAACAGAAAATAATCAAAAATCAAGATCGGTCGAGAATACAAAATCAAATTAATAGAGAAGAGAAACAATGCAGCCGATCAAAACAACAACAACAACAATAAATGTCTCGAGAATCTTGTTAATTCAAGAAGACGAAGAGACTTCCAACAAGTGAAAAATTCATGACGAACGAAAACACTCCATTGGAGTAATTAATACGAGGCTGAATGGTAAAGCACAACTGCAAGGGAAGATATGTACGTTCGTTCTGGTTATGAAACAAAGAAGAGTGGAACAAGTCAGAGAACAGCAGATCATCAAGAGTACAGAATCAGTTGGAGACAGAAGCGATGCAGATGATCAGAAAGAGAGAAAACATAAACGACAAACAAGTGTTAAAATCAACAAGGCAAAGAGATTATGAACAACAAGAAGTCAAAGGACATACAACTCAGCAGCATTAACAAAGAACAAGAACACGTGAAAAAGCAATACTCCATCTGAACAATACACAGCTATATGGAAAACCATAGCCGTAAAAGAAGAATTCTATGGTGCTAGTAACGAACAAAGAAGAGCGCAAAAAAAAGTCAAACAAGTATATCACAGAATCAATCCAACTGAAAAGCAATGCATCTGATCGAAGCAGAACAATACATACAACAAATAGATCAAGAATCTTGACAGTCAGTTTCAAGAAACAACAAGACTTGGAAGAAGAACAAGTAAACGAACAAAGAAGAGCGCAAAAAAAAGTCAAACAAGTATATCACAGAATCAATCCAACTGAAAAGCAATGCATCTGATCGAAGCAGAACAATACATACAACAAATAGATCAAGAATCTTGACAGTCAGTTTCAAGAAACAAGAAGACTTGGAAGAAGAACAA